TGGCACATAAACCCCACACAAGCCTCTCCTGTGAGCAGAACCCTCCCCGCCCCCAGTACTGTCCACAATAAAATCCTGAACCAGTGTTCTTACTGGCAGGATTTCGTTTTTTTTTTTTCTGTTTTAAAATATATTTTATTGATTTTTTACAGAGAGGAAGGGGGAGGGATAGTGAGAGTTAGAAATCCATGAGAGAGAAACATCCATCAGCTGCCTCCTGCACACCCCCCTACTGGGGATGTGCCCGCAACCCAGGTACATGCCCTTGACCGGAATCGAACCTGGGACCCTTCAGTCCGCAGGCCGACGCTCTATCCACCGAGCCAAACCGGCTAGGGCCACAGATATTTTAAACTCGATTTCCACACTGCTCTCTCCTTCCTCTTGCCCTTCTAACCACCTGACACAACAAATGTGATAAGAGTGAGAATCCGGCTGGTATAGCTCAGTGGTTGAGCGTCGTCCCATGAACCAAGAGGTCCCCGGTTCGATTCCTGGTCAGGGCTCGATCCCCAGTATGGGACGTGCAGGAGGCAGCCGATCCATGATCCTCTCTCATCATCGATGTTTCTCTCTCTCCCTCTCTCTCTGAAATCAATAAAAATGTATTTTTTAAAGAAAATCACTGGCCTAAGACTTCATAAGAGAAAAAAATAAGGTCAGAGGGAAAGCAGCCAGAATGTTCTTCCTTTGAATGAATTTTAAACATTCAGAAGAGAAAGAATTAAAAAAAAAATCGGGGGTATTCGAACCCCTTTCGGTGCTTTGAGCCTGGGAAGCACCATCCTGGTGGGTGAGGTGACTCAGTAGCCATGTTGGCGGAGTTGCCTGGTTGGCACAGGCCCTTCGAATGGCAAACCCTGATGCGGGGGCAAACGTTAATCATTAACGGTGCCAGGCCTTCAAAGACACCGTGTGCGCCCGGCACACAGAGGCAGACGCACAGAGATCAGCCGCCAGGAATGCAGGGAGGAGCCGGTATCTGCGGAGGCTGCCGCTTACTGAGCAACACGGGCCGGGCCGGCCATTAATCCCACGTCGGACGCCTCCCACCCTGAGCAATCGGCGAAGGAGAGAGGGAGATAGCGCACGCACCCGGGCCGCCCTCCGGCCGGAGGACGCAGCTGGAGACCTCCGAGCAAGAGAGAAAGAAAAGAAATAAGAAGATGACACAGGCTGTCACCGTGAACCGCAGACTCGCGGGACGCCGTCAAGGCCGTATTTCAGGCGGCACTGCGCTCGTCTCATGAGAACCAGCAAAGGCACAGGGTTGGCACAGCTCAGCCTGGCCGGTGTGGCTCAGTGGTTGAGCGTCGACCTATGAACCAGGAGGTCCCGGTTCGATTCCCGGTCAGGGCACAGGCCCGGGTTGCGGCCTCCATCCCCAGTGCGGGGCGTGCAGGAGGCAGCCGATCCATGATTCTCATCACGGATGCTTCTATCTCTCTCCCTCTCCCTTCCTCTCTGAAATCAATAAAAAACTTTTTTTTAAAAAGTGGGCTCAAAGGGTAACAAAGGAACTACTACAAAACCTCAGAAGGGAGCAAGAGGGCTTCCCCTATAACAGCCGTGGGCAAACTACGACCCGCGGGCCAGATCCGGCCCGTTTGAAATGAATAAAACTATTGAAAAAAAAGACCGTACCCTTTTATGTAATGATGTTTACTTTGAATTTATATTAGTTCACACAAACCTTCCATCCATGCTTTTGTTCCGGCCCTCCGGTCCAGTTTAAGAACCCATTGTGGCCTTCGAGTCAAAAAGTTTGCCCACCCTTGGCCTATAAGCATGCTTCGTGATGTTTACGCCACACGGAAGGAGAATCAACTCACCAGATACACCATTGATACAATGATCATTCATTAAAAGTAATTCAGTAACGTAGCTTAAAGTGACCATGATTTATTAACATGACTTCCCAAATTTTCAATTCTGTGATTTCAACTTTCATTTTATCCTCCAAGTCCTCTCCCATTCCCCCAAATCTCTTTCTTTATTTTTCCGCTATGAAACGCCTAATTTTAGAATTCCTGAAAACAATTTAGGAGCAGTGCAAAATAAACAAACAAACAAAAAACCCCCAAAAACATTAGTCTTTTCTGTTTCACTTTAAGTTAACCAACTGTATTCAAGTTTCCAAGAAACATGTGAATCATATCGCTGATAATAATCCTTCCGAGAAGGCGGGATGAAAGGTTACGTCCCAGGATCACTTGATTCCTGAGGCCCAGGTTGGGGCTGGGGGTGGGGTTGGCGGCTGGAGCCGGCCCCAGGCCACCCAGAGCCACCACTTTGCTGGTTCTAAGGCAAATGCTTAACCCTTACTCAGCACTTTACTAAGAAACAGGCACCTTGGCCTGGGACAGTGTTTGACCTGGGACATTTCGGGGTGCAGCGGCCGGAGAACAGAGGAGGTCCTGCGAGCAGTGTCCCCGGCCATTCTGAGTTCCTCCCAGCACCCCTGACCCTTGTCCTTGGGACACAGTGTGTCCTTGGTGGAGATCACTGCCCCCTCCCAGCCCCCGGTCGCCAGCTCCCTCACTCTCAGTCCGGCAGGCCCCTTGCCTGCGGCACCAGATAAACTCGTGTCCTAGGAGCCTGCGCCTCCCTTATCCAGGCTGGACTGAGTCATTATTATTAGTATGATTACTTGCTTGTTGAATGGTCCTCCGTCTGCCTTTCCCGCTAGATAACACGTCCGCGCACGCTACACTGTTTCACGCCTGGTCATTTTCGCCCGCGGCACTGACCAAAGTGCAAGGTACAGGACATGGGAGGCATCTGATAAAGACACGGACCAAGCCTGAACCAAGTTTCTTCCTGGGCTCCCGATGGGTTTTTTATTCTTATTTTTTAAAATATATTTTATTGATTTTTTTTTTACAGAGAGGAAGGAAGAGGGATAGAGAGTTGGAAACATCGATGAGAGAGAAACATCAATCAGCCGCCTCCTGCACACCCCCTACTGGGGAGGTGCCCGCAACCAAGGTACATGCCCTTGACCGGAATCGAACCTGGGACCTTTCAGTCTGCACGTCGACGCTCTAGCCACTGAGCCAAACCGGCCGGGGCTACTTTTTTCTTTGCTGATCACACATTTCAAGTACAGCTCTGTTTTGTTTTGACTAGAAAGCAGGAATCAATAAATATTGATGTCTGGAAACATTTTATGATGTGTTTTTTAACAGGTGAGAGAGACCAGCAACCATTCTTATCATTATTCCGGCTACTGTGGAGTTGAGTTTTTGGATGCCATTGGAATGATACACTTTTAATTTTATTTTTTAACTTCACCTGAGGATACTAGTATTTTCAATGGATTTTTTAGAGAGAGTGAAAGAGAGAGGGAAATATTGATCAGCTGCCTCCTGCACGTGCCCCAACCACGGCCCGACCTGGGGATGTGCCTGCAAGCAAGGTATGAGCCCTTGACCGGAATTGAACCTGGGACCCTTCGGTCCGCAGGCCGGCGCTCTATCCACTGAGCCAAACCGGCCGGGGCCGATCACACATTTCTAATACAGCTCTGTTTTGTTTGAACTAGAAAGCAAGAATCAATAAATATTGATGTCTGGAAACATTTTAGAGTGCCCGCGATGGCTCGTGACTCCTGTCCTCCATCAGCTTCATACGTGTGTGTGCGTGTATCTGGCAGCTCGATGCATGTTCTCACCTTTTCCTTTGTTCTCAGCTCATCGAACATCTGCTGTATCTCCAGCTTCCAGTCGTCCTGCATGGAATGAAAGGACTCCTGGGGCATCTCCGTCATGACCGCCCCTTCGATGGCGGTCAGCTGCTCGAGAATTAAGGCGAAGGACGGGCGGATGTGAGGGTCTTGTTGCCAGCATTCTACAACAAACAAGGATCTCATCATAGTTCAGATGGTCAGCCCCCGCGGACAGCATTTGTTGAAGGCTT